GAATGTTGTTACTGAAGGGTGGCTAGCTGCACATACCTTTCGCCCCAGCTTCCTTCGATAGTTTTGCGAGATCAAAAGCATGTCGTATCCGATCTTCTACGTAGGCGATAACCTCATCGAGTACGTCCTGGACGAGTTGCGGAAGAACTCGAAGATTGTGGGCAGTCTGGAGAGCAGATGCTAGTTGAGAACGATTCTTGGGAAAACATTGTCAGTAGCGGCTTGCCGAATGCGTGAGGAAGCTACCTACTAATTCCTTGAGGCCATTTTGCATCATGATATCCATCTCCGAGATGATCTTCGCCCTTGCCGCATCAATTGCGGATAGATGTGACGAAATCGCGTTAATGGAATGAAGAGGTATTGGTTTCGGGATTATTGCATCCTGCTGATCATCTTGTGATGCTTCCGCAGGGAAGTCGGCCTGGGAGAGAGCCGCTATGATATGGTCAATGTAAAGCTTAAATAAAGGGCTGAGGATGATTGTACGAACTCAGTTCAGCTATGCTTAAAGCTGCTTTAGCTACTGTTCTATCTCTTTCGCCTTCTGGACCAATTTCCGCGTCTATAGGTGTGTCGGTACCTGGTGCAACCTTGATGGAACTCTGATTGGTTACTCCAGAGGCCTTTTCAAGTTCAGCCATCTGTACTTCAAGACGCCTTGCTACGAGGACAAAGCGTGATGTACGACGCAGGACATCAGATGCTAACTGCAGTCGCTGAAGTCGATTTACATGTGCATTGAGATTCTGGTATGGAATGCGAATTTTCAATCGCAATCTTTAAATGATCATTAGAGAACTCCTATGATGAAATGATGATGCTCACTTTTCTAAAGAGCCATTTATTTCGCCAAGCCCGTGCCTGACAGATAGCAGAGATGTCTCCAATTGATGAACGCTTGAGGCCTCGGCAAGCAATGTTTCATGATGGGTCGACACCTTTATCCTGGTTCAGCAAGAAGGATGGCATGTCAACATGTTTATAACTCACCACTTGCCTCAGTTGCTGTGCAACATCTTCTATTCCAAATGATAACTTTCCAAGTGCGACTGAAATATCCTCTTTTCCAGCCTCAGCATTACGCGCACCAGTTTTCTGTTTTGTCGGGGGATAAGTATCTCCCGCTAGAATAGAATTTGCATATTCATTCGGATCAAATCCTGGTGATGCGAAGATGGAGTAGTCGCTGATGGATGACTCCGCAGAAGATGCAACCATCAGACGCGGTGATGATGGGTTTTCCTGTTTTGGGACTCCTTGGTTTGAATTGGAATTCCAAGCTTCGACTTTCCTTTTCCGGCAACCATCTCGCCCTCCCAATGCGAGATGCCACCAAAGGCACTCACCAACGCGCCTCAACCAGCGCATGGAACTCACGAGCTTGTCTTGCATGAAAGAAAAATCGTTGCACTTGCACGTGGTGATAGACAAACCGAGGATTCGCTGTCGTATGCTCTAATCAAGAGAGCCAAGGAAACGGGAGCAGAACTCATTCTCTCCCGCAACATCACTGGACCAGAAAAATTGAGGCTCATAGCAGGTATGTCATGCTTATCGTCTCGTAGGACGTAATAAAACCGTGTTATACGCATCTTTCATTGCAGATGACTTGCGTAATGCGGTCCGCGCTCCATTTGATTTGGACGAACTTTTTAGAATAGGAGAGTCACAATTTGACCGTAAGTCCTTCATAGAAAGACCTCCCGTATCCTCTTAGCATTGATTGTATATCATTCTGCAGAACAACTGGCTCTCCTCGACAGACTACAGGACGCCGCCTTCTTTTTCGATGATATCGTAAGGACGATTCAGGCTCGTAATGAGAACATCAAAGATCCCAAGGTAAAAATCTGGCACGATCCACTTGGCAACGCGGCTTTCGTCGCCTCCGCAATCGGAGCAAGGTGAATACGTGCTCCATCAACATCATGATCCAAAGCATTAAATTACGTTAATCGTCAGGGTTCACAATGCCTATTATATGGCTGGAACGTGGAAACAAGTCATGCTTCTGCTAAAAGAGATAAAGGAGATTCAGCCACACATACCTAGTGGTGGAATTCCGGCTATAATGAAGAAGAATCAGAGATTCCGTGATCGGTTTATCCTACTTTATCGTCTCATGGAGATGCTTGTCTATGTACATCAAAAGACCGTCTCATTGGCCACGGCAGGGTCCCGTAAGATTTAATTCTTTTGTGACATTGCCTCTCCTGACGAGATCTCTACTTTCCATGCTAGCATTCTACGCCCACTATTTTGTCAAGATCTCGGGAACTGGGAACCAAACAGCTTACATGGCCTTCAAGCAGTCCGAGTGCATGGGCGCAATCAAATCGCTCATCGACACCATTGTCATGGAATTAGTCAGTCATGAAATCTAAGTGGACGATGATGTGGTATTAACCGGGATCTCACTATAGGTTCTCCCTGATTCCGAATATCCTTTGCATATCTTGCTCACCTGTCTGAAGGAATCCCTGGATGCTAATCCCCAGGAGGCCAAAAGGCGCTTTAACCAGTCGTTATACAACGCCATCGGTGATCTCTCCGTGAGTATTGCTAATAGACATGCCATATACCAGCGCTTATCCGCACAACACTAGGAATCTGTTCGCTTCTATGACATGCTGGATACCGCACTCGTTGGTCCCGAGTCTGTGCAATGGAAGACTACCATACCGCCTTATACAGATGCCTTTGATGCGTACCTTGACGCGGAGTGGCTTAGCATCAAGGCTTCTAGGGACAATAAGAGTCTCCGCGAATTAGTCAGTCCGCTTAAAAAATCCCAGGATCCCAAGGTTCTCGAACAGATTTGGAAGAATATCAATATGGTAAGAACAATTCTCTCAAATTCAACGACCCACTGGATCCAGACTCCTTGTGTAGGCATACATTGCAGCGAGTGGCTTTGACATCGACAAGACCTGGCAACTTGAAGAGGATCGTAATCCTACTCCTCAATGGTCATACACATTCGAAGGCGTAGATCTGTATTTTGATGACGACAAGTCTGACTTTACTGATGAGGATGAGGACGAAAAGCTTAAAACGGCCGTAGTCCTCCACTCGAGTCGCAAAGGAAAGCGTGGACCTATCAACCATCCCACTGCAGGCGGAAAATCGGCCAACTCCGGTCCATCTGATGTTCCAGTGAAGTACAAAGGAAAGGGTGTCTCGAAGGCGAGGAAATTGAAACAAATAACTCAAGGCGGAGAGGATGAAGATGAGGAGCCACCGCCGCTTCTAAGTCCTTCGGGCAGTGAGGACAGTGATGAAGATGAAGAATCCGATGAAGAACACATCGTTAATGTAGACGTTGAAGGGATGGAGTCTGGTTACGATACTGAGGAGGGAGAAGAGTTGGATCGCATGTTTAGGAAGGCAATGGATGATCTCAATGTAGGACTTGATGATCTCGTAGGACTTAAAGAATCCTTGGCTAAAGAGGAAGCTACGAGGAAATCTGCTGGAAAGCCTCCGAATCCGTTCATAAAAATGTTTAATAAGCTTACAGGTTCGTCTTTTTCTCAATCCTCTCTGTTGCTAGTCTGAGACTCTCTCTCCTAGGTCGATTTTTCTCTACTGAGCCTGCTCTCAATTCAACGAGATTCAGACCAACTTTCGGACCGCCTAGACCTCCACCCAAACCAAAGCCTGTTCCAGGTTTGTTCATTCAAAAAATATATAGTCAATCTATTAACACCCATTCTTCTACTCCGGTTATCTAGCAAAATCAGCCCCAGTCGCCGAAAGCGACGACGAAGATTTGCCACCTCTTGTGCCTATTGGGCCAAATGGTAAACCGTTGTCCAACTTCAGGACAACTGTTGAGGAGGTCTCGGTACGAAAGAGTCACTTGTAATCCGCAGACAATCTAGTCTCTGACTTGCTTTCGTTTCATAGGACGAAGATGACGGCGCGGAAGAGGCTGCTAAAAAGAAGAAGAAAAAGAAGAAGAAGCCGAACAAGAAAAAGGGAGCATCTGAACCAACCTTGGAAGAGATCACTCAACCTGCGTCACCGCAACCAGGTCCAGCATCCCCGGCAACCTCTACTGCCAAGTCATCCTCAAAGACTGCACCAAAGGCATCGTCTTCTACTGCTTCATCCAGCATCTATGGGACAGCGGCACAAGGAAGTGTGGCGTCATATTCTTCGTTGCTTCATCCCACCGTTAGTGGAGTGACAGCCCAATCCGGCCATTCCTACCTCTCGCAGAATATGTCTTTACAAGAGAAAACAAAGATAAAGACAAGACCAACCCAAGAAGTAGCTGGCCCCAATGGAGAACCCCCAATTCCAGATAAGATGACCTTTGGCAAGAAAATCAAGAGCTTGTTCTCCAGAGAAGAGAAGAAGGAAGCGCCTGAACCTACGCCGGATATCAAACCGTTCAATGTACCAAAGAAGATGTCGAAATTCATGCAGCAATTGTTCCGAGGTCCCGAAGACGAGAGAATGGGTAAAGGGTCAATGCGATGGGAGCATTTCGTCAAGGTGGGTAATAGTGCATTTGCTTTCACTGCTTTTAATGACCTTGGTGCTATGTTCTCAGACAATGCAGCAATTGGGTTTCACCTATGTTCCCAATACCGCAGGCAGTTCAGTTCGCTTCGATCCACCTTCACCTAAAGATAAACCCATCACATTCCACAAACCCCATCCAGATTCGACACTCACCCCTGTGCTGCTTCACGACTTTAGAAGAAGGTTACACAAACAGTATGGATGGACAAAAGATTTGTTTGTCACCAAGGCCGCCGAGGTGGAAGATGAAGTGGAGGAGATTGATTGAGTTGGTTTCATTTCATGTGATAGAGATTATTTAGCTCCTGTGGTGGTATTCTTGAGTTAGTACGTTAGGAGTGATCTTGGCCCGAATGTATGGACTCTATCTTAGTATCCTTGAAAGCATCACGAACATTGATAATGCGGCGAGGACATGACTTGTAAAAGGTACATATATTGCATACGAACCAGACGAGTTAGCTGCAACTTTGCCGGAGTGGTTAACGGGATCGCCTGCTATTATAGCAATTCAGCGGTTGTGCTTTGCACGCGAGAGTTCGAATCTCTTAGGTTGCGCTCTTTTTGTCACGCGGAACAAGATAAATTAGGTATTCCACTATTTTTTGATAGTGTACAATTTGTGCGAACTAGGAAACTTTGGAACGGATGTGTGGATCAGGCTATATTGTACAGATTGTATACAACAGGATGTTTAAACATCCTGATATTTGGACCCAAGTTTGCGAATGGGTTATTAGATACAAGTCCTGGGAGGATATCAAATAATCCGATAGCGGCATGTTGAACAATGCGAAAGATGCAAAGAACAGCGTAAAAAGAATGATAAATTCAAGGTAGTTTGTCCAAGAATCAACGCAGCCGACTGGTCACTTTTGCCTCGGCAACCCTCGCGAAGGATTCGCGAAGGGGATCGTAGAATTGAGTGACGCTGTAGTGAATTCCCATGTAACCTTGAGGTAAAAATGGATGTATCTCGTCGACTGGATGGGGCGGGAATCGGGAGACAAGTGGAGGTGTTGGAGGACGGAAGGAAGAGTTGTAATGCCTGTTTTGAGCAGCAGGTATTGCAGCTAGAGAAGACAATGCAGCTGAAGAGGATACTGGAGATAAGGCAGATATTGTACGCTGCCTCTTTTCATTTTGCAGATTGTAAATTGTGCTCTTCGGAACCGGTAGGGTAGAAGCCGAGTGCGTAGAAGAAAAAGAAGCTTTTCGAGGGTTGTTCGGCTCCGGTCTGATGAATTGACTAAGAGTGTTGGGAGATGGTGGAGGGGATGGGGTTTGTGGTGGAGAAGTTGCAATTTGAGCTTGGGCGGACTGAGCGGATAGGTATGGAGGAGCAGTGAGAGGAGGACTGGTGTAGGATGGAACACGAGCGATGGAAGCACTTGCGACAGCAGCCTGACCTAGGAGAGGTAGACGATTTGCAGAGCGCATAGAATGCGTGGATTGAGCTCGTGAATGGGAACGATTGGACCTGTGATGAGTCTGTGTCTCGGTGTTGGTTGGAGAGATGGGTTGATCGTCGATATCTTGTGAGGATGGGAAGGGACGAGATGATAGACGAGGAGTCAAAGTCGATGGACCAGGCGGTGAGAATGGATTAGACTGTTGAACGACGGGGGTTGTCTGCTGCGTTGGCTCCGGGTTGGGGGTGACTGCGCCGCTCTCACTGGACTCCCATTCGTCGTCATCTTCGTTCACGGCTATTTGGAGGGTTTGCGTGGGGACCTTTGCAGATGAGCCATGCCTTGATAAAGAGGGTCGTGGAGGAGGAGACTGACGATGTGGGGACGTGGCCTGACATACGATGACATGCAATCTCAGTCCGGCAATTCAAGTCCAAACCATCAAAATTACTCACCTTTGCACTTCCTCCGCCGCTCTTTCTTCGCGAATGCTTGGAACTGCTCCTTTCCTTTCCGCTCACAGATGTCGTTGGTGTGGGTCCAATCGTTGTGAATCCGAGGCCATTGTTTCGGTTTCCAGCCGAAGATTGAGACGATGATCGGCTGTGTGGTCGATTATACGATTTACTACGTCCTACTGTCGGTCGTCGTGGTGCTGAGTGGTCAACGGTTGGCATCCTTGTTCACTGCAACACTGCTAGTGGTAGTCGTTGTTATCAATAGAAAATATGCCACTTTAACAAACTTGATTGGTCAACCGGACCTTAGCCCCTTCGTTTTCCGGTCCGAACCAAGTTATAAGTGTGTGGATGGATTTTCACCTCCAAGACATTGCCGCTCATCGCGAGCTTCGGTGTGCAAGGCCAGGGCTTTGGCGTAAAATACAGCTGTCAAGACATGAATCCATGAGATTTACGTATTGTATATTCCTCCCATATAAAGCAAACATATGGGTCCTGTAGCTACACTATTAAACAACCTAGTTCATGAATACATCAATGCCGGCATCATTCATGTCAATATCGTGGTGCTCGTCTTCGTCGTGTGTTTTGGTGTCCTCCTGTTCAGCTTGTAGTATCTCCATCCACTTCACATCCAATTCTTGCTTTGTTCCCGGGTCTCCCAGCCTTGCTCTTTCTATCACATCTTTTGCCTCCTTCCCTTTCCCGTTTTGTACTAGCCATGATGCCCATTGACATGCGGAATTGACAGCTTCACCAGGTGCAACTCTCCATTTGTCGAATATTAACTCGAGGTTTTTAAGCGAAGACTCGGAGCATTTAGATTCACACTGAAACAGATGAGCGTAGGTTGCAGAGGACGGCAAATATAATTGAAAGATCCGGGTAATAGCGGAATGCCGTCGTGGTATACTGAGTGGTCCCGAGTAGAGGTCGGCAATGTAGCGATTCAGAAGATTAGGATGCAGGGACGCGGACGAGTGCTGCATGCTATCCAGCAAGATGTCCTGTACAGAGATCAATCTGAGCGAAATAGTCACTATTGACGCACGAACTGCTCACCTCGTAGAGTTTTATTTTGTCCGCCGTCTGTTCATGGGAATCGACAACATACAACCATACTTGAAGCAATTCTTCTGTGTCTCCCTTGGCTAATTTACGAGCTTCTTTCCAAGTCTTTTTGATAAGCTCGGAATCGGCATTCTTTCCGGCGATTTGTAAGCGTGCGAGCCAAATCTCGGTGGAATCGGGAAAAAGATTCGAGTACTTCTGACTGCTCTTTGTGACTTTCTTACCAGATGGAGGTATTGGATTGCGGGGTGATATGGAGAGTCGAAGATCTGTGGCGAGTAAAGATGGTGAAAGTCGGTGAGATGGTAGGCTTAGTATAAGTGCATGCAGTGATTGAATAAGATAAAGGCGCTAATAGCAAGTGAAAGATCAGCGCCTGAAATGCGAAAGATAAACGCGACCTACCAAGTTTTCTTCATCTAGCTTGTTGACCCATTCCTCTACCCAAGTGGCATAGGAGTGTCCCATTTTGGTCTTATCGATCTCTTCAGACTTGAGAGCATTCGACAGTCGTTCATTGGCTTCTCGAAGCGCTTCAACGATATCTCCCCCTTCGTTTGGTGTATCAGAAGCAGCTGAAAGCGCGTGGGTAGCCGCAAAGAGCACTGCTTGTGGGTCATGTGGCAAAACAGTATCGATTTGGCTGTATAGGTCGCTCAGCAACGAAGATCGTAGCTCTGTCGGGTAGCTCGACAGCATGGTCCTCAGAGATGAGAACATTTCTACTTTGGGAATGGCTAATTGAAGACATTTAGAAGGTTCAGCCAAACATCAGGTGGTCAATGGATGTGCGCACCTTCAACCGCATTATGGATGACGGTTCGAACGATAGCACCATTCATTACGTCTCGAATAGCCTCGCTGTTAGAATCTTCGCCCTCGACAACAATAGTCGGTTCTGTATCCCCTTCTGGATCGAGGAGGCCGCTCTCCTTGTCCTTCGCCACGGAGGTGTTGCCATTTTCCAACTTGATCCCTAGGGCATGCCATCTTCGCTTCAGACCCTCGATATATCCAAGTTCCATCTTAGCATACTCTGTCCATAGCCGAATGCTGTCCTTGTTTAGGCGCAGACCCCTCTGCAGTAATGCCCGGGCCGCGGTTGGGGAGAGCTGATCGAGTTCATGTGCTGAAGCAAGTATGTACAACACGGCCTCCGTCGGGTGAAGCTGAAGCGCCCTATCGAGTGTCGTAATGTCAGTCAAGTCGGTGACCAAGTGTAATCCCAAGGCTCACCTGGCAGAAATTTTACCGACGAGCGATCTAGCCTTTTCTTTCTTCGCCAGTTGAATGTATTGAATCCATAGGTCTACATCACCCTTGAACTTGCGAACAGCGCGCTCGAAAATGTAAAATTGACGTCTAACCAGGGCGTAATCTGATATCGAATGGGGAGTTGGAGCGATATCTACATTCGGTCATAATGTCCGTTAATCCTTGGCACATGGACAGTTGGGCTGAGGCGTACTGAATCGCTTGGCTCTCTTCTTTCGCAGTGCCTCTAAACCCATTTCGTATTGCACGTATCGGAGGTAATCACCCTTTTTGGCTATCCGGCGGACCAATGCACGTTCGAATTCGGTTCGCTTTTTGATAATCTGCTTAATCTCTGACTGTATGATCGAATGTCTCAGTACCAGGCACATAATAATCAAGTCATTTACCGCAGACCTGAGTAAAAATACCCTTTTGCACGAATTCTTTTAATTCAGGGAGCATCTGCTCCTGATGGAAATGGACTTTCTCCATGTTTTGAGTGTAGATACCGAAGAGATAATGGATCTAGATGTGGAGTGGACCTGGTGTCTGGCAGTGTCTCGGCCCCCGGTCCTCGTAACGCACCGGTATACGTTATGGTAGTCAAGTTCGAGGAAGTGATAATTCGTGAAGAGGTAGATTTTCCATTTGTCAGTGTTTGTCAAGGGTTGAACACAGATTGGGTAATAGCTGTCGATACTGTCTTTCATCAACTGCGATCACGCTGGCCGAGCTGAAACACCTTGCAAGGTGTTTTAGATTAGAGTTAATTGATGCTTCCAGTGGCCCACGCACGGCGGATCTGATTCTAAACATCATGATTTATACGGCATGTTTCGGGGATGACCAGAAAAGGAGTTTTCGCGGAAATGCCCGTATATGGCAAATCCGCTGATGGAATACTAGTCCATGAGTAGAGTAGCTTCAGCCTGGAGAAGGACCTGAGCGTGCACTTGTACTGTCTTGCGAAGCGTGCTGCTATCGACGACCGAAAACGTGTCAGCTGCGTTGAACACAGGGCCTGCTTATGGGACGGCTTGCTGTACGGTGTTTCCAGGATGTTCATGTCATTTTAGCTACGCAGGGAATTCAGACGTCATGCATCCTGATCGGTGGGTCAGTAATCTGAAACCAACGGACCGGGTCGATGGTCCCGTGTAACATGTAGAGACTCGGAGGAGGTTTACACCTGCGAAGAGTGCCGAATATCCTTTGCTTAATTCCTCTCTTCGACCCGACGCGTGAATAGTGCTGATTGCCACGGTAAGCGTACACTGCCCATATGACGATTCGGCCGGCGAGCCAAGGAACAATCAAGAGGACCGTCGCTACGAATGATCCACCCGGAGCGCCCAAT